TGTGTTCTAATGGGCGACGACTGTCTGCACCACGCATTGCACTTCGGTTAAACTTTTCGACTACCTCGCACAGGTACACCCATACATACCCAGACAAAATAAGGAACGAGAACAACGGGGACATCGCGTGTGATTCCTACCACAAGTGGCGGGAGGACATTGAACTGCTGAAGGAACTGGGTGTGAACCACTACAGACTGTCGCTGTCTTGGAGCAGGATTTTGCCCAATGGTACCGTCTACAATATCAACCAAAACGGCGTCAACTACTACACAAAGATTCTTGAGGTAAAACACACCCTATTCAGTTAAGGACCACTGCAACTGGCTTCTTATCAGACTCTTCGCGCTAATAACATCGAACCATTGGTTACGCTGTACCATTGGGACCTGCCGGTGGTGTTCCACGAGATGGGCGGCTGGTTGAACCCCAAAATCGCCGATTATTTCGCCGACTTTGCCCGACTCAGTTTCCAGCTGTTTGGCCGGTATGTCAAAACGTGGATTACCATCAACGAGCCACAAACCACCTGCGTTCAAGTACGTACAATTCATCAAAGTCGCCCTGGAGTTGGTAGAGAAAAACTTGTCGTTGTCCCTAGGGGTATGGAACTGGAGGAAAAGCCCCTGGATACGTCCACAGCGGGGACGGGGTCTACCAATGTGCTTACACCAACATTCTGGCCCACGCCAAAGCTTACCATATATACGACGAAGAATTTCGGGCCACCCAAAATGGTAAGTTCGCAAGTTTCATATACGCACATAACTTGGAAAACCGCCCTTAGGAAGAGTGTCCATTGTGCTGGACAGCGCGTGGGCTGAACCGGGCAGCTCCGAACTGGAAGACGAAGAAGCCGCGCGAACAGCAATGGCTTTCAGTGTAAGAGACGATACGGGTTATATTAATTGAAGTAAAACCCAACTGGGGTTGATCCTCTAGATGGGCTTGTATGCTAATCCTATCTACAACGGAAACTGGCCCCAAGTGGTGATCGACCGCGTAGGCAACCGGAGTCTGAACGAGGGCCTCCCTAGATCGCGCCTCCCTCAGTTGACTCCGGAGGAAATTGAGTATATCAAAGGCACTTCGGATTTCTTCTGCCTTAACACGTAAGAAACAACCAGGCAAAAATTGCACTGCCCAAACCCAAACCCTCTCTAAGGTATGGCACGTACTACGCCCAATACCAAAACGAAGTGAACGAGAGCATAGGAGACCCCAACTACTACTCAGACATCGGAATTCACACCTATTCAGATCCCGAATGGGAGGCAGTGATCGACTGGGTATCGCTGGTGCCGTGGGGCTTCAGAAGCCTGCTCAACTTCGTCTGGACTGAGTACGATGGAGTGGAGGAGATCGTGGTGACCGAAAACGGCTGGGCTGATGTAGAGACCATCTTGGAAGACACTCAGCGGATCAACTACGTGAGCGTAAGCGTCGAACTACCCTCATAGAGGCGGGCACAACAATAATGCGCAAATTCACAGCAATACCTCAGCGCCCTCTTGGACGCCTACTACGAGGACGGCGTGAATGTAACCGGATACACGGTGTGGAGTCTGCTGGATAACTTCGAGTGGACGAATGGATACACGTAAAGTCCTCTCAGGATATAAAAGCGGGGTTTCCAGCTCAGATGTGGGGGTTTTTCAGGCAAAAACTGGGCATTGTTCATGTGGACTTTGACGATGAGGAGCGAAGGAGGACGCCGAAGAGCAGCTACAGCTGGTACAAAAGGGTCTTGGCCAACAGGTGCTTGGTCGAAGAATGCGTCCGGGAGTGAGGAACGCAAACCTTATAAAGGATCCAGCTGTTTTCAATAAATACCTTACTCAATTTGGGTTTTCTTCTCCTTGAAAATGAGTCATCAGCGACGTTATTTATAGGGGATGTATAACCCGCGCTGGATATATTATGACAGATTCAATCCGTTGTTTTATTAATTTGCTGCAAATTGCTGATAATTAATTTAGCCATGATGGATGGACGCGATAGGATGAAACAACAATAAAAGCCGCCCCATTATCGCTAGCCATCCATTATCTGGGTGCCAGTTGAGGCAACATGTTCCATTTTCTTGCTCTGGGTGTGTTCTTTGCCGCTTTTGGTAAGGGTTTACGTGTGATGGACAAAACCGCACATTGCTAAGACAAGTTTTCCTTTAGTGGCTCTTGATGCTCAACAGTGCTACCGGTGCTTTGGCAGGCATTGGTGTAACGATGTTGCCCATCCAGATTTTGAGTCCAATGTCACTATAATGAATTGTCCGGCAACAGCTGCAAAGTTTTCCTATGAGGGTGACAGTCCCACGATTGCAAAATTCATCCACAGTCTGGAACGGTTATCGACCAGCTCTGGAGGAGAGGAAGGATTGAGCGAGACGACTTGGGGTTGCGTCACCGCAACAATACATGAAGGTGATAGTAACTTTTTTAACGAGAAAGAGTGGGAATGAAATGACTGATTGAACGTGCGCAATTATTGGCTTCATTAGTCACAGCTCCCAAACCTTCTAACCTCTAAAGCCATAGAAGCAGAAACGTGAACACTCAAGGCTCAAGGGTAAAGCACTTTAGATCTCAGAAACCGGTGGAAACAGCCAGTCAATCGTTAGGAGCTTTCCGATAAGGCGCTTCAAAGCCTATTTTTTCCTCCTCTGAGCTATAATGCAAATTTCCTAACTTCCACCGAGATAGATCAAGATTCGGATAAATTTCTGCTCATTTTGATCTAAATTCGTACACGGTTGACAATTATAACATTTTTTAATACAGTGTCTTGAGCCACCTTGCCCTATGAAAGATCCCTAACCTCTAAAGCGATAGAAGCACAATTTACTTGGATTTTTGAGCGCATTTTCCAATAACTAAGAAAAGTGCATACTTAGCAGTAATGATCTATCAACGGTTAGGAGGTTCCCAAAAGCGATCAATTCAACACTGATATGGCAATAAATTAACAATAAAACTGTACTTACCTGACTTAAAAATTGATTGGTTCCATTCGGGAGGCCTAACGCCCAATCAATCAAGTGCGAAATGGCAGCCAGATGTTCCACTGATCTCCTCCAAATTCCACTTTCAGCTCACGAAGTCCACACGATCCGCACCTGTCTCAATAACGCCGAAACTATATGTCCAGTAGTCCAGACCGTTGTCCTCAATCCCGACCTGAACGACGTGCCAGATGAAGTGGAACTGGATTGTGGAGGATGCATTGGCATGCTATGCAATGACCATAGTTTTGCCGCTCCGGATGCACCATCTACGTCTAGTACTGCGAGTCCTGAGACTACGAGTTCTTCTACTGCTACTCCTGATAGCACAACATCTTCCACAACCACTCCAACTCCGGAAACTTCCACTTCTACTACCACTACTGGCGGTCCTGATGGGACTACATCTTCTCCAACGGTTCCAAGCTCAAGCTCCACTACCCCTACCACTCCGGAAAGTACGACAACTTCAGCAACCACTCCAAGTCCCGAAACTTCCACTTCTACTACCACTACTGGCGGTTCTGATGGTACTACATCTTCTCCAACGGTTTCAAGCTCAAGCTCCACTACTCCTACCACTCCGGAAGCCACTTCAAATCCCGAGGCAACTAGTTCAACTTCAACAACTGCCTCCCCAGACAGTTCTACAACTACTACAACCGAATCCACTACAACCGAAGTTAGCACCTCCACTACCACCACAACACCAGGAACTTCTAGTACAACTTCCGAAGTTCCGGACACAACCGAAAATGCCCCTGAAACCACTACAACTGGCTCGGTGCAGGCCCCCAAAGGCTCTTATGGGTTGTTAATGCTGACACTTTGCATAGAATGGATTAGATACGTTAGGGCTTAGTTGTGAATACACTTACATGTTATGGCAATTCGTTGGTCATCTCACAAGTAGATTAAGGCGTGAAAACCGCAAGTTTACCTCAAATCTAACGCTTTTGGTTGACATAACGCAAGAATAAATCACATCCTGACAGTACTGGATTTTTAATCTGTCACTTTCAAAAATTTGCAAGTTTTGTCAAGTGAGTGATAAAGAAGAGTGGTTTTGTGATAAAACGTGAGTTTATATTTTCCATCAGTGAAGGAGAAGAGGCGCAAAGGCCGAAATTACTGTTTTGCGCTTGGTATCTCACAGACTGTAGCAGGTATCTTGAGTTAGAGAAAAAACATAACCTTTTTTTGATACAACTGCATTCTAACGCATAATCAAAAATATTAGCTAAAGAATAAAATGCATTCTATTCTATGGCCACTATGGAGCGTGACTTGTTTTGCCCATTTTTTAAATTCATGCGCCACCGACATTTATTGCCCCAATAAACTGCCGGATTACAGCAGGTTTCAACAATAGATGGATGGCTTCGAGTGTTTTAATTTATAGTGCGGATCAAAAGATGAGTATTCTCTCTAATCCAAGTGAAAATCTTTTGGAGATCAGACAGCCTGAGGTGTCAAAGAGTAATATATGAGGGTGGCGACAAAGCAAGCAAAGCGTATTTTTAGATAACGCGCTAAAGATCAATAAAATTAAAATAATTTGGAGGAAATGAGGAAAACTCTCAAACGCATTTTTTGCGTAAAGTAATCGAGTTACAAGCTGTTTAAGCACTGTCATTGAGACAGGTTAGTTTGTTGTTCGGTGATGCGTGCACGTCATTCGCTCTGTGAACTTTGCGAAAAATCTTGGAAATTTTTAGAGTTTGTGCGAAAAACTGTGGATTATCTGAAAGTGGAACCTTCTCTTAACAGTTTTGCGGTATTTTCCAGGTCGGTAGTGCGATTTTAACGTGACAATGTGATTTTTTAATGTGGCAAGTTACTGACGTTTGCTGTCAGGTCCAGCGACTTTTCCACTTTTTTGGCAATTTTGAAGTACTATTGACCTGCTTAATGGTAAGTGTTTGCTTACCGTAATTCACCCGCACTTTCCAGATCCTTCCGTGATTGGTAGGTCTTAATAAGTAGACAAACAGGAAAACCCCCATTAGTGTTAATTTAATGTGTAAAATTAGTGTAAAAAAGAGAGAATGTGGAAGTAGGTACCTAAATAAGTTAATAATACTGCACAAGTAATACTGGCCAATTGCATAATGAATCGTGAACAAACGAATGATCTAAAGACTAAAAACATTAATAATGATTAAGTGGCCTGTCCAAGCCTTTTTCACTGTGGACAGCTTCGAACAGTTACCATAAGCGAGCGCCATAGACTGGCAATGACTAGATTATTTATATTAATTAAGGCAAATTAACAAAAGCCGCAATTCCTACTTAGAGACTAATGGCTGGAATTGTTATAAATGGTGTTTACGATTGCTGGCAACGCACACTAAAAGCTACACACTTACACACACTTCCATCCGCGCTTAAGCACATGTAAAATCACATTCAGAATACCATGTTGTACAGGCCAGTACGGTTAATTTCGTATCAAAACAGCCAGGTTTGGTTCTTCAGAGAGCATGCCGCAGGTTAAAAAGCCAACCACACGAAAACAATTAGTTGCTAACTCTATAGCAGGAAAAGGCGAAAATGCGTCACAGCTATGATTAAGAATGCCCCGCGAAATTGATCAATTGAGCGACTGGAAGGTGGGTGTTGGGTTCCAGAGTTCCCTATCTGGGTACTTGGTTTGGTTTCCTCATTTTCCTCTATTGAAAAGTCCCCTTTGGGTGTATTTGGCTTGATAGGATTTTCAATCTCATTCTCACTCTCACTCTTCCTCCCGCTGCCCTCAATGTTTTTGGCTGGAAGTTAAAAAAAGACACTTAAATCGAGTATTCATTTTTTAAACTTACCCTCACCTTGCTCCTCATCATCTTCCTCATCGTCCGGCGGGCTCATTGAATTGCACAAATCTTTAGTGCAATAACAGAACTCAATAGAGTTGGCGGTTTTGCAATCGTTTAATTCAATTGCTTCGCAGCTTCGACTTAGAATCCGATTCTCGCTCACTGTAAATCAATAGCGATTTGTAAAGGCGTGAAAATGCGGAAGTATGTTAACTACCTTCCCTAGTCAATCGACAGCTTTTCCCATCAGCTCCGCAATCTTTCACATAGCCGGGATGTTCATTACTTTGAAACTCTACACAGGATGTTGATCCATCTTCCTGTCCCCCACAGGTGTAGCACTGAAGGGCTGTGGTTGTACCAACTGAAACCCAAAGATTCCATAAACGAATTCCCTTAATCCTGCCGTTTACCGACCGAAAAACAATGCGGAAATCACTGGAATTATTGCCCTAGGCCGCATCGTTATAGCGAACGTGATGAGTTAGCTACTAGCATTTACTAGAACAGTTAAACAGCCACTGTTTAAACAAGGTTTAATTGACTAAACGAGCAAGATCCGAAATTAGCAGGAAAACAAATAAATGCAAATCTGCTGAGGAATCTGAGGATGTTTTGATATGCGGCAGGCAGCATATCGGCGGCAGAGCGTGTAGGAAACAAATAAAAACAAGAGTCTAGGCAATATGGGGGGGCCTAGACGAGTAGGCAAGGCCTAGATTATCGACTCAATGTCACCAGGAATTTTCATTGTTGTTTATTTAAATGTAAATTGCACATTTACTTTTTTTACGGTAAATGAATTTTAATGTACCTAATTCAGTCTTTATTGATCTCTAATAAAGAACAAGCGGAAATGTTTATTACCGTAGTGTGTCATTTTATAAATGCGTCATTTTTATTGTGCCCTCTGAGGTTGTCTCAGAGCCTCAGAATGGAAGGGTTCTGGCTGGTTCTATTTTTCTTATTTGAATCTTTTAATTTGAACAAGGTATTTTTTATGGAAACTAAATTTTTATTGAAACCAAACATTTCTCCACTGAAACCAAGATTTTTTATCAATCAGGTTCTACCTATGAATTAAACTGACAATTAATTAAATTAAAATTAAAACTGACATGACGATGCAAGCGTGTAACGTTACACGTGTACGTGCAAAAGGCACATTCAAAAGCCTACCTTTAAGGGAAAATACCTATAGATTTCAAAATCACGGAATAAATCCTCACGGAAACCATCTGAGAAATGTGGTAGAAAAGTGGTATTTTCGTTGTGTTTTTAGCAAGTTACAGCTTACGCGAACTGATATGTCCGAAACCGGTTCTAGGGGTGCCTGCTAGTGACCCTCACAATAAGCGAGAACACTATACTGCCACTGTTGCTGTTTCTGTTGTTGTCATTCAAGATCTTAACCTAGCTTCTTCAGTTACCTGCCAAAAAATGTCTTGCACTACTAAAACGACCGAAAACACTCACGTTAAGAACAAGCAAAAAGACTTGCAAGAAGCCACCTCGTCCAAAGACGAGCAGCAAGTGCTAGAAAAGGTGAAAACCCTTGACAATGTGTGCACGTTCACCAAGTGCAAGAACAAAACAAATCTCATTGCCATTGACTGCAAGTTCTGCAAAGGGCGATTCTGTACTAGCCATGGATTGCCGGAGATCCATGGGTGTGGGGAAGCGGTGAGGCGCGAAGAACGAAGAGAATACATGCATCCCGACCCGAAGTTATCGCATGACAAGCACGAACAGGCCCAAACAAAGCTCAACATGAAACTGCGCCAAATGCAGCTGGAGCGGAAGTCCAAACAGGGCTTCCAGGACAAAGGAAAAAAAAAGAAATAAATGGTAATATTAGCTTAAGTTTTATCTACTACCATCATTTATAAATAATAGTAATAATTCCCAAATGAGAATAATTAACGCAGTTTATTTGTAACATATTTCCATTCGATCCCACACTACAAGCAAAACGACGCCGAAGTGCAATTAATGCCGTCGTAAATGAAAATATTGTTCAGTGGCTTATACTGGTTGGTAATCACCTTGATGACTTCTTGGGCTGCACAGCCCCCTAAAATCGAGGACACTGAATGCAACTCCGCGGTCCCATATCGGCACACCTCATAAACGCGCTCCTCCCTCAGGGCATGCGAGTAGCCCCATTCGCTGAGCAGCTTTCCAATCACCCCTGCAAACATACCATGAAGTTCCAATTAAACCATCCTTCCAACTTTACCTTTAAGCTTCAAAATATCTGGTTCCACTTGATCCTCGAACTGGCCAGGGTAGGCGTTGAATTCGCCAATAAACCTCTCTAGGCCCCTAAGAACCACATAATAGAATATGAGGCTATCAGGGTCTTCTAGATAGGCCGTTAAATCTAGATTGGTTTTCTGGTATTCGTCGGCAATGCATGTCCCCCTAATCAGGTGCAGTTCGCTTGAGTGCTTGCAAAAGTATTTCACCTAGAATGTCATTCATATGGAGCTGCTCAGTGTATGTTTAAGTCAAATACTTCGCTTTCCGTGATGGTTTCTTGGGACAAGCCGAGGTTTCTGGCTATTTGGGACGCGCGTCTGTAAATGACTTCGACTTGTTGCTGAGCGCGCTTTTGATAGATGTTTTGCAGGGTAACGTAACTGTTCGTGTCCGCTGCCATGTCTGGCAGTGTGCCCCGAACGGGCAGAGCCCCTTCAGCTTCGACCATTTCCCGCAAGGCTGCGCACATTATCCAGAAGGACGAACTGGATTGGGTCAAATTGGTGCAACAATCATCGTCTAATATCACCTAAATTCACCCATTGCTTTAGGCGGCTTCAAGCTTGAAATTTACGATAATTACTTGCACATGGTCCGGCACTGCTCTGGTGGTAACGCAAGAATTCGCATAATGTATGGCCTGCTCGAAGTTCTCATCTAAAACAAACCGTTGCTTGCCCTCCTCGGAGTTGCCACTGTCTCTGATCATCTGCTTTAGAGCCTCCTTTTCCACCCTCTTCTCAGGCAGTTTTCCTAAAAGAGTGATTCAGTTTGAACTACGGAGTTCTTGATTTGATTCACTCACCTTCATGGCTCTCCTTGTACTTGTTCAGGTAATAGCGCAGGATGACTGGAGGAGGCACATGGTTCTTCTCCTTCTGATCCAGCTGTTCGATGTTGACTCCATCCAGGTATTCTTGTAGGGCCGGCCACGGTATGTCCAATCGCAAATCAGGGCTTTCACTGTCGGGGTGCGCCTCTATAATTGTATGTTCCTTTATTTGGAGCCTCACATAGCCCAAAAAGCCGATGCTTCTGCAGACAAGCAAGGGCACGTTGCATTCCCATAAGTGCTTGGATAGAGTAACTAACACCCTGAAAAACACACAGAAACACTTACAATCCAAGCTGAGTTTAATATCTAAATTCCTATTATCAATAGTCTTTAAATGGCCTTTTTTCTGCTCGGATAACCTGTGAGAGTGTGAGTGAACAAAATAGATTTGGTTTTGCAATAAATTTTATTGAAAACATACAGTATGTAAATAAATTTATCAAATATATCGGTATAAAAGTAGATTCTAAGCAGCCTGCTTCTTCTTCAGGGCCTCAATATATAGCCCCAGGCCCTTCTGCACTTGGTCCTGCTGTATTGTGGCTAAGAACAGTTGTAAATCCGCCTCGCGCCCTTTCACCATACTCCTTATTGTTCCCCCTCGCACCGTTTGCTTGGATAGACTTCTGGCGAACGGCGATATTCGTGCAAAACTCCCAATAAAGCCCTGGGCCTTCTCCAAGCCTTCCTCCTTCGTCTGGACTACTTCATCGATCAGGCCCACTTTCAGAGCCTCATCAGTGGTGAAAAGCTTGCCGGTCGTTAAGGCTAGCTCAGTTTGTCGTTTCCCGATCACGTTTTCCATTGAGGCAGCAAACCATGAAGGGGCTACAATGCCCAGCTGAGTCTCATTGAGTCCGATAACAGCCTTGGGGACCATGATTCTGTATTCACAGCAGAGGGACAGTAAACATCCCCCTGCAGGGGCGGGTCCGTTTATCAAGGCAACGGTGGGAAATTGGGCGCTATAGAGCGAAATCCAAACGTCTTGCAGAGTGGTCCAGAACTCTTTCGCTCTATCCGGGTTGGGCTTGTACATTTCCAGAATGTCCAGTCCAGCGGAAAATGTCTTGAACGCACTGGTGATAATCGCACCGCGACTTTTGTTCTTTTCCAGGCCAGTTAAGGTTTGTTTGATTTCGGTCAGGAGCTCCAAGTTCAGGCTATTTACCGGGGGCCTTTGCAAAGTTACCACCGCCACACCACTTTTATCATTGACTTCCACATTAACTAAACTGGCTGCCGCACTGTAGTTTCTGGCAATTGCTAGGAATTGTCTGGATTTGCTTAAATGTTGTGATAAAGCCATTTCTCTTGGGCGTTAATTCGATTGCAACCAAATCGGAACTAGGCAGGTACAAAGGTTAAAGACTACAGCTCAAAAATAGGCCCCTCTCCTTGGGGACAACCAAACATAACCTCGCACAGTG